TCAGTTTTGTCCCTTGTTTCCACATGTCATAACTTCTTCTAGATGCTGCAGACATTACTGGTTTGCAAATTTACTTGCTTTGTGCACTGATGTAACAAGTATTACCGCTTAACTATGGAGCAAAATAATGGTGAAATATCTTCAGATATCAACAAATCTTTATTTTAATAAATTTGATCCAAAGGGGGAAAAAACTCCAGATGACTTGTGAGCTAAAGGAATTGTTTGTTTATTTGTTCATACAAGAATATGTATGCTTGGATTTTTCATATCAGTTTAAGAAGAGGGTTTTGTGATGGTTAGGAGTTTGAACAGCTCTCCCAATGGATGGAAAGATTTTCATAACCAGAAAGTATTGTCTTGTAGGTTTCACTGAAGCTTTCGCTGACAAAGGAGTACTTTGATCTTGCATCACTTGTGACATCTCTGGCAAATTGTGCTGTCATCCAGGAGACAAAGGGAATAACACGATGTCTCTTAAATGAAACCAACAAGAATGGAGAAGTGGTGCTCACTTTGCAAACAGAAGGGATAAATCTTCCTGAGCTCTTCCATTATTCTGATGTATGTAATGAAGTTTTCTGTATTTTCCAGAGTCACAGAGGAAAAATAGCAGAGAAACCCACCATGCACAAGTTATTGCTATTCTCAACCATGTAATGTTTTTTTCACATATTTAAATTTTTTGGCAAAGTTGAAAGATAATTGGCATGAGTTCATAGTTTTGTTATACTGATGTTGATAGCATTTTTATTGATTTCACAAAAAAAACTGAAAAACATTTTCAATGTAATCAATCACAATTGCTACTAATATATTAAATTATGGATTAATGCCAAATATTTTTATTTATTTTTTGCTTTTGGCTTTGAATAGAGCAATAACTGCTATAAAATTTCCTATATATTTTGATATTTAATTTCAGAACTTTAAACTATTTACAAATGGAAGATTTTGATAGTTGAATAGAGTCCCTACAAAAGAGAATATTGGTTTGCAAAAGAAAGATCAATATGCATTAAACAGATTTTCTGTGGTTTTTTTCCTATCTAATTATTACAATTACTTTCCAAGTATTTTTGGAAAATTACTACTATAATTAAAGATTAATTTAAGAAAAGAGTGAATTGAAGCAAATAATTTGCACAACTTTCTGGGAATACACTATACAATTGAGGGATGTTATGAAATATTCACTTCATTTTTACTTCTTTCACTGAATAATTGAATTAAGGCTGTTGATAGAGATGTGGCTGTACTGGGAGGAGCAAGAGAACAAGAAAAATGCATGTGTGAATTTTAGCAGTCTTTTCAAGAACCTTACAGGCTTCATTAGAGAAATGTGTTGTCTGGTTGCATATTGTACTTCTTCAGCTATAATTTTTGTTTGCTAATGTTCAATTCTGTCTTTCCCTCATATTCATAGTTGAGGCAGATCACCTAATTTGTTTCACTATGACTTCCCACACTTGCTATCTTTGTCTCTTTTAGATTTTTGATATGAATAAACTTTATTGCAATGATATCCATGCAATGGCTAACACCTATGGGATTGAAGCTGCTTTGAAAATACTTGAGCGAGAGATTAAAGATGTGTTTGCTGCATATGGTACACCATTTTATATAATTTCAGCTGAATCTAATAGCATATATAAAGCATTGTTTGTAATTTCAGGCTTGAAAGTAATTCATTATACCTAGAATAGTAGTTATTAAATATTTCTTTTATTTGAGTATTATATCACTGTCAAAATATTTGAAGATTGCCACATTTTGATGCCCATTCAAAAATATTTTGTAGTAACTTCACAGACCATAAATTAGGAACTACTGGCCTATATTAAGCTTTTCATTCAGAGGATGTTTTTACAGCACAGATGATGAAGCTACAATCCATATTTATTTCATTAATGTTCAGTATAGTGGCATATTGAATTCCATCTATTATCAGAACAGTATCTTATATTGATCAACAGACAATACATTATCGGATCTAAAAATCTCTCAAATTGTCCATGTTCTATCCCACATGATACTTAGGATGTTGTAATTATACAGCTGACATAAGAGCTTATTAATGCAGACTTCATTCACTTGTCTTAATAATTAAATCTTCAAATTATGTCATTGAGTCAGCAGTATGAACTAACAATATTATTTAATAAACTATTTAATAAAGTTTCATGCTGGATATGGAGGATAGATTTATTGAAGTACCTTGTGCATTCCTTTTAAGAGGCATTGATACTTCTATTGACAGGAATTGTGGTTGATCCTCGACATCTCTCCTTGGTGTCAGACTACATGTGCTTTGAAGGTGTTTACAAACCTTTGAATCGGTATGGAATGCAGTCCAATTCATCCCCCTTGCAACAAATGACTTTTGAGACAAGTTACAAGTTTTTGAAAGAAGCAACTATGTTGGGTAAATACCTCACAATTATTATGAAAATAATAGCTTATATAGTAGGATAAATCTTTGAATTCTTAATTGATGAAATACTCATACTCATATTTTACTTTATTTTCTGAAATTAAAATCATCCAGTTCCAGGCAGCCACAATTGCATAAATTAACAATGTATGCACATTGCTCTTAAAAACAAATAGTGATGGAAGTTTCACATATAGGTAGTTCCTGATTAATGATCATTTGTTCAGTGCTGTTCAAAGTTACAATGGCACTGAATTAGAACATTTACAGTTGATCCTCAAAGTTGTCTATCTCAGCATCCCTGTGGTTTCATGTTTGTGATTTAAATGTTATTGTCTGTTTGTGTGTATATATTTGTTTTCGTAGATTTTCACGGGTACAGGTATGTAGGTCTAGGTGTGTTCGGGTCTTTTCCCATGTAAGATTTAGAGTATCTTGGCAACGTTTCGGCGAGGTCCCACTCGCCATTCTCAGGCTGGTGCTTTCGGCTTTGTGTCAGTGCAGGCAGTTTAACTGCAGTTAAAAGGAAGAAGCAGCTGCAAGCTCACATTACTCCAAGAAGCACAAAGCCGAAGACACAAGCCTGAAGATGACGAATAAGATTTTGTCGAAACATCACCAAGATACTTCCAATTTTACGTGGGAGAAAACCCGAATAACCAAAGATCCACATATATGGTTTTATTGGTTTTGTCCTTATGACACTAAGAATTGCCTTGTGGTGAGATGGGCAGCAATCAAATTTAATAAATAAATATCCGGTTTCACAAAAGAAACAAAAAGAAAAAATTCTACATAAAAATTCTACAAAAGCTTTGTGATCATTATGGAAGCAAGATACATAGGGACAGGTAAACATCTGAAAATATTTTTCAACAAGTTATTTTTAAGAACTGTTTGGTGGGATTAGCAGAAGAAAAATTTTAATCCTTCCATAAGACCAATATGAAATTGTGTATACATATGTACATCCAAAAGTACCACTGAATTAGATTTGAATATAATCCCTTTCAAAATACACTTTTCGCAAAAGTGAGAAACTTTACATCCCCAAATATAACTGCTTTCTTTTCTTCTAGGGTCCCATGATGAACTTCTGTCTCCTTCTGCTTGCCTGGTGGTAGGAAAAGTCGTCAGGGGAGGAACTGGCTTATTTGATCTTAAACAACCGCTAAAATAGATGGGGTTTTTTTACAAAAAAAAAACCTTTAACTTGATTTTATTCTAAAGAATAAATTTGCTGCTATGCATTTTATTTTTTTAGTGTTTGCTGTCTGAAAGTATCATGAATTAACCTTTCTAATTTAATAACTACCTGCATCTTTGGATTTTCAGAGGTTATATTTAATAATAAATATGATGTGTTCATCCTTTAATTCTGGCAAGTGAGTTTATTGAACAGTCTATATAACTTAGTTTTAAAATATTTTTGTGGATCATCTAGTATAAAAAGTATCTTTGTGGTAGCAGCTTCTCTTATCACATTCAACAAATTTACATAAAACAACATAAACTGAATATATACTTAAATGTCCCTAAAATATTGGTGATTCCCAAAGTTTAAAGGAAAAGTCAGTTGAGTTTTTGACATGCTTTTGTGTTGTTTTTGCCTGCTGCCTGTAATCAGAAAACAAATTAGCACTCCATTACATAAATTGTATCAGGACATACCTTTGATACTGGTTAAAGCTGCCTGAAGTAGGATTCTAAAGATTAAGTAACAATTGCTAGAATGAATACAATAGTGTTTTTTTTTTAATAAATCCAATATGGGAAAGATTCTCCCATGATCTGTGACAGACATTAGTGGGAGAGGTCATCTGTCATGGTAGGATGATAGGACTGTGGGAATCAGCAGAGGTTCAGCAGTCTTTCAGGACTTCCCCCTCCATACCGTTTGTCTAACAGAGAAGAGCCACAAAAAAAAAAATTTCTAATTTGAACCCAGTAGAATATTAAATCCTGAAAAATATTCCCTGCGGTTGATTCATCTTCTTAGCTGCCTCCACTTCTTTCCATCCCAGCAAGTGTGATAAGAGCAGGAATTAGTTTACCCTTTGGGAAAGGGAATCCCTTCAGCACACATTCCTGCAGTGCAGTTCCTCTCTCTACTTTCATATAACTGCAAGTTATGTAGAATTTTTGCGGTGAAGCAAAAAGACCTGTGGAAGTTTACTTTGTTTTGGACAGGATGGAAGTATATTGCAGAGTAGGGAAGATAGAGAAAAACGATGCAGCAATATCAGCAATCAATACAATTTTCCATTTAATCACTACATTTCATTTATTTATAACCAACTATATATTATTTTGGACAGGCACTACGCCGAGTTCGTGGTTTAACCTTTGCTTTATTTTACAAACGTCTTGCCTGATGAAAAACTAAATAGATGAACTCAGATTAATTGTTCAAAATATGGACAATGAATGAAAAATGTTCCCATTAAGAAACAAAGACGAAACTATTATCTTTCATACTACATTTCTGTCGTTTGATAGAAACCTACATTAGAGGCCAAAATATATTTTGCTATTTTTGAAGATTTCTCAGAACCGAAAGTCCTACCTTGAAGGTATAGGATGTCGGCTCTACACTTTCCTCTCTCTTTGGCGCCGTCAGCCCGCTTCGGAATTTGTCGAGTTTCTTCTCTTCCCGCCTTCAAAACTGTGATGATTGGCCAAAGGGGACGATGGGTTCCTGGGAAGTGAAGTGACCTCAAAGAATCGCGACCTCCTGCGCGCCACGAAAGATGCGCGCGCAGGCGACTCAGAGCTCTCCAGGTTGCCGTGGGAAACTGAGGAGACGAGATAAGCAGGGCCTCGCGGATACTGCGGAGGCTGAGTTAAAAGAGAGAGACGAGCTCTCGTGATTTTCCTAGTCTCGCGCGATTTCCTTTTCAAACGTATATTTTGTCCCTGTTCCGAGTTGATTTTTTTTTCCTGTGCACGCAGAGTTCCGGAGCTCTTTAGAGGAGGTCCACCGTCCGAGTGAGGTATCTCATATTACCTTAATAGAGTAGTACTTTTACGCGTTTGTATGTTTGTCCGGAGTCATAAAATAGCGCTGGCAGCTATCCTGGATGCTGAAAGCATCTCCAATGGCACTGCTTAATCGAGAATACATCCATTTGCTTGGTTGGGGCAAGAGGGCTTTCCTCGCATCCCAACAACGACCATCTCGAGACGCGGCATTGGCAGCCGGGGTGCCGGGAGCCGTTCTTTTATTTGTCCCTATGGCTGTTAGCTATGACTGGATCGCCCTCCACTAATCGGTCTATTCTTAAAGACATCCGAGGACGCCGCATATGTTTTGTTTTTTATTCTCCTTAAAAACAAAACAGTCCTTAAAGAAACAATCATGTAATCCTGCATTAATTTGTTGTTTGTTTGCTATTATATTATATTTGGCTTGTTGAAAAAATAAAAGTAATGGCTGAGTTCTGTCAGAAAAATAATTTGGAGTTACAACTCGAGCCAGAACTGCGCAAGGATAAATAAAAATGACATCCAGACAACTGTGACGAAAGAAGAAATGTTTATTCCTAAAAGCAAAAAGTTTGCCTTTAGGGGCAGACTGCAGAGAAACTGGATTCAGCAGCAGATTTTTATAAGGAGAGCCTGCCCCGGGTGTCACATTCTAGAGTGAAACTTGAGGGGAGGTAGATATGTTTATTCTTCAGAACATGCAGTTCCTCTGGGAGACCTAATTTAATTAACTGGTTGTATTTGCAGACCTTCTCCTTTGATATGTGGATTAGATCTGGGTAACATATTTGAGGAATTTTGCTAATTTTATTTGATTAACTTAGTTTCAGCTTGACTGTCAGTTATCTAGTGGATTCTCAGATCATTGTGGATTCTGTTAATATTTTAAGGAAAGATGGAAACACTAAACAATAACATATATTTCGATCTAAAAATTCTCACAATCATCTCCTTGTACATATATACGGAGAGTATATATATGTACACTATTAATGGCTGTAGTTTATAACATACCTTTTGTCTATTTGTAACATCATAAGGAAAACATAAGGAACTGCTGGTTGCATCTGCATTACATTTGAATTTCCTAGAGGCTGCTGGAAAGAGAGCTACTTGCAGTGAATTCAGGGGGACTGAGACAAAGTCCAGTGGAGCAAGGTAAGCACCTGGAAGCGGCTAAAAATCTGAAACAGCAGCAGTACATTCTTGGTAAGTGCATCTGTGATTGCAATTCTGTTTTATTTTAGAATGTCTCACTTATTTCAGTGCAATACTTGTGCAACTTGGTACTCTTTGTGGTACTCTTGTCAGATTTGGATATTGTCCTGTTTGTAAACAAATTACAAGCCAACATGGACAGATCGCTTTTCAGATCTGCTTTTCAGGCAGAAATTAGGTGTCCAGCTCAACCATTCTGTTCTATTGAGCTGCCCCACTATAAGCCCCCTCTACCACAAAGATGCTGCAAGATAAGGGCAATATAAACAACCGTGAGATTTGACAAGGTGGGAGCTGTGAATCACAAACACAAAGCTTTCACTTTGTCACTGAATAACAGATACAGTGCCCTTGCTGACCTTATTAGGGATGCTAAAGTGGCAGGTCAAGGTACTTCTAATAACAATAACTTAAATGAGCAGGGGATCATGTCCGAAACGAAGAACTTGTTTTACATAGGGGAAAGTGTTAATCAAGCATTATACATTAGTCATACAATGAGAGCAAGGTATCCAAAAAGAGAACTGACCTTCTGATTGATGATTCAATTGTAAGGCATGTAAATTTAGGAAAGGATACAGAGGTGTTTTTTTAAAAAAACAACTTTTATTCAATTTTTCCGAAACAACATAAAAAAGAGCTATTTTCGGTGTACAGCATAATTCTGAGTCACCACTTTTACAGGCGAATATGACAGTAATTTTTACATTCATTTTTACATTCAATATCCTGTCTTGTCCATTTTTAACTTAATTCTATTATTCTCCATTTCAACTTTTACATAAGAAAAGGAACAAACACATTAATGTTAAGTGATATTACTTTCATTCTAAACATCATCTCAATTTATTTCAAATATATTTCTTAAACATTAACATTTCTTTTAAGCATGGCCTTTTCCAAAGTACTCTTTTCTCATTTTACCTCTCAATATTTACATAAGAAAAGGAACAAATGAATTAATCCTATTCATTAATATTACTTTCATTCTAAACATCTTCTCAATTCATTTCAATTTATTTCAGGTGTATTTCTTAAGCATTAATGTTTCTTTTAAGCGTAGCCTTTTCCAAAATACTCTTTTCTGATTTAAATAGTTCCCATATCTTCATACTTACTCCCTTTTAATTCTTTTATCTTGTCAAATTTGCAATTCCATCGCATATTCTTTTCATAAAGTCTAAATTAATACTAGCTTTTTCACAAAAAACAAAACAGAAATTTCCCCTCCCTTTTTACTAGTTTGGGATTGTCACCTCAATGGTTTAAATATGCCTTAATTCCCTCATCTGTAATTCCCAATTAAACATCTATTTTACTTAGTTATAGTAATAATCATCCCCTAGAAAAATAAACTACCTTACATTGTACTTTTCAGTCAGATTCCCCAATGTATTTTCTCCCTTTACTTCTATAAAACTTTACTTATGATATCAAAAAAAAAAAAAAATAGAAGAGAAAGAAGCAATTAATCCATTTTGCTATTACTGGTCACCTTAATCTCATTTTAAAACCTTTTTAAACCTCCTCATGATTCATTTCAATTATTTCAATAAATATAATAAGCATTAACCTTTCTTGTAACAATAAAAATAAGAATATACATTCATCTTCTAAAAAGATATGAGTGCCCTTCCCTCCTCAATAGACTAAATTTTATAATTTATAATTGCAAAGTACATTATTATTACCCTTCATATCAATGCAGAATCCCCTTTCTTAATTTATTAACCATTATCTCTATGTATTCTAGGTAAAGAAAATTTTTCCTTTATTTTACAATTCCAATATTTATTTATTTATTGTTCCTGCTCCTCATTACCTCTCTTCCCTTTTATTTTTCCAAATCTTTTCTCCCTCTGATTTATATTCCTCTCTCTATATATATTTTCCTACCCCCTTTTACTTTTCTGCTGTTTCTTTCCATCTGTCTGATTTTTACAAGTATTCCCCATTTTAGTTACTTTTTTGAATCTCCCATTTTTAACCCCCCTTCTTTTTCCTCTTTGTGGTGTTCTTTGTGTTGATTGTCTATTTAAGATGGCTTCTTTTTGAACTAACTCCTCCTCCTCTGAGGTTTCTTCTTCATATTCTTCAGTCGCCATTTCCATAGCTTTTAACTCAGAGGCAAGTGATTCACCTCTTGCATGTAGTAGTTCTTCCAAGTTTTTAAGTTCCATTTTTAGATCCCACAGAGATATCATTGTTGCGCATTCTTATATCTTATAGTCATTAAAATCCACAAATCAGCTTCTCTTCTTCTTTTTTCTTCTTCAAACATTCTAGATTGACAACTATTCCAGAACTGGGTTTATAGCAAAATCACCAATCAGTCCAACAATCCATATTTTTTCTTTTATTTTAATTCAATTTTTGCTTTTTAGGGTACTTGTTATATTGTTTCAATATTTCCTTTTCATTGTATCAAATCAGATTCATAGAGAAATAGGAACTTTCCCTTTTTCAGCTTAAATTTTTGTCCGCCAGATGGCACTCTCCATTTTACAATGTCCTCACATTCCCCCTCCCCCCATTTTATTGTTCAGGGCTTTCCAAGCCCTGGTATTCCAAACCAATCAAATCTTCAGTTTAAATATTTCCCCCCTGCTTTTTGAAAAACTCCTAAGTCCAGCTTTAAATTGTGGTTGTTTGTTGCCAATGTATTTTAATTCAATTTGTTTGAATATCTTGTTCCGGCTTCTTCCTATCCCGGTTCGAAGCCCCGCTCAGCTGTCAAAAATATTTTCACTTTTTTTCCTTTCCCTTTATAAATCTGCCACTTTCTTATTCTTTCATAAAAATTCTTAAAATATCCGTCCTGTGGTACCTTTTAATTAATTGTTGCACCAAGTTGTCCCGATTCTTATGTTGTCCACCCCTTCCTTCTCTCCTGCACAGATCTTAGTCCAGCTAAGTCCTCTTCAGGGTGGCCATTTTAGACCACCACTTGGTCGTCTTCGGGAGGAAAAATTGCCAAGCCCAGGGAGGGGAGATGCGGCTCCCCTCAACCTGGTTGGTGGCTTCCCCTTACTCCGCCGCCCCTCGAAGGCAGCTTCAGCCCCTAATCACAATGATTGGGGCTCTCTAACGAGAGCATGGACCAAACCTGTGGACAGTCGCAGTCCCTGGTCCGTCGACAAGGAGTGCTTAACCCAGAAGTCCTCAATTCAGGAAAGGATACAGAGGTTTTGAAAGAGGTCAGATGTTTGCCACGTGCTACTGCCAACAGGGACAAAAGGCATATTTTAACATAATCAAGAATCCCAGTAAGGACTGATGTTGATGGTATTGTACATCTTGGCACAAATGATGTGTCCCAAAAAGATGTACTCTCTGTGCAGAATGATTTCCAGAGCTTGGGGCAGGAACTTTGTAGAATAGGCTGTAGGCTTGAGAGGTTTTTGAGAGGTTTTACCAGTACATAAGGAACAAAAAGGAAAAGCCCAGCATATAGTGGAGCTCAATGTGTAGCTAAAGGAGTGGTGTAAAAGGGAAGGTTTTAGTTATATCATGATGTCTGCAGCTGGTCCAATGAAAAACTGTACAAAAGAAATGGTTTGCATCCATCAAA